TGACTGATCTGTTGTATATCTCCTGTGATAACATTGTTGTGTTGTATCTTTCATTTCATTTTAAAATACGCGTGAAAGGGGATCAGAATTTTTCATCAATGGAGGCCCAAAAAATAACCGTTTCCACGTTATGGATGCTGTTTTGAGTGTAGAAGTCCTTAGCACACATTCGTTGCGATTGTCGCTATGGCCATGTCAAGAATAGTCATTTTTAGCTTCTTATTTGGCAAGATTTACTCGAAGAATGGTTCTATGATTTGGCCTTGAACGATTCAGGCTGAATACAACTCTTATATCAGATCTGCTACATGGTAAACCTACTTTTAGACGGAAAATAATGCCAAGCTTTCTTCCGCTATTTTGCGATTATCATCAGAGGTTGGTATCACTCTTACAACCAGTTCAAGCAAGCGAGAAGTTGATGAGTCTTCTTGACTCATTTGCTTGAACATGGTTATAGGAATGATGGCCGGTTGTGATGAAATCCCTAATCATCATTCTTTTCCACAGAAATCGAGGGATGTTGCCTTCAGAACAGAATATTCTAGTAAAGCTAACCGACAATTGATAAGGCGAAATCCGCCGTCGTCTTCTGGTGGGAGCAACCTTAGGATCTCTTCATCTACAATTATAACCCAAAAGACCCCTCGAAACCCAATTTGTATTCGCAAATCTGATACACTTAACTTATCCACAGATGACCAAGCAACTATTCGGTTGGCAACCAGTCGAGGAGACTTCATCACTCGATGTAGCAATGACGCCAGACACTAGTTTGGCAAAGCGACAAAATAAACAACCTTTAGTCAACCTCCAACTGACTGGCCGAACCCAGGTGACATGGAATTTTGCACAATACCCCTTGACATTGCCATGCAACATGTGCTCTCTCCTTCTGTCTAGTCGGCCGGTCGACATGTGTTGCCAGGCCGGCACAATTAGCCCAAACGCCTATGAGGAGCATACTCGACACGAGGGCAGAGGGCAGGCAGACACAAGAAGCGCACTGCGAGTCAATGGGGGTCACTGGGAGCAGAGAAAGGAGAGAGCATCGTGATAAGAGTCAAATTAAGACAGTACCACTTTGCGCGTCATGTCTGCGATTGGTCTGATAATTATGCTACACACACCAACTGACATGTGAGCTAAAAACATACTTGCCTCGTGCCGGATTGGGCCTGCGGTTGAAGATAGACAGCCGAACGGAATCTCTTCAGGCCGCATCAGAATCCTCCTCTCAGACTCACATGTACTCTCATACACACACAAACATAGATGCGCAAATACATTCGGGACCAATGTCTAGCCTCAAGCATACATGAGGGCGGGTCCTAGAAGTTTCCGCTTATTGTTGGATGTCATAGCAACTGAACACGAGCATAGTTAGAGGACGAAAAATGTGTACCACGGGCTGGAATTCATCTTTGACAAGCAGCGCAAAAAGCTTGAATTCGAGGACAAATTCGATCTCACCTTCGCGACTCAAAGTGTTAGCGTTTAAGCCCGGATTGGGAAACAGCCTTTTTCTATGCCTATCCTTTTGTGGGGTGTTGCGTGTCAGTCTGTAATCTTGTCGAAAAAAGACTGAGGCCTATATTAAACGTGTCCAAAAAGGACGAATAGTGATTCCTTACATATAAGAGAAGCTAAAATTCCACTCGACTATTCAGCTTAGAAGATTGCCTTCATCTAAACTGGTTTGAAGTTACAGAAGGGTCCAAAAGTCAGAGTCCACCACCAAGAACACAGTTTTTTTCCTCATTTATAAATATCATTTATTGTTCATCATTCACTTTCGACTTCCGCCGAGGTTAATGTTGATGGGTTGCTGCGAGGTCGAAACTGCTAATCAGCCTGAAAGAGAAACCTTTAGGGAGGCATTGGTGGAGGCGTATTAATAAGTTGTTACAGGATTTGAAAATGTCTTTGAAAATTGAAAATACAAAATTTTTTGAACATCACGTCGGATTATGAGGACGATGTTCAAATCGGCATGTAAAGATGCGGGTCACCAGTGATGCCAAGTTGCGAATCGACTTTACCATAATTTTCATTAGAAATATAATGTCTTCTACTAAACTGCGGATTAATCACAAAATAAATGCTTTAATAATTGAAATAATTGAAATACTCTAAAGGCGCAAATAATTTGCAGGCCATGA